AGTCCAGTTACTTGGTACGTATATTTACTTGTACGTATATATTTGTTAAGGTAATGACTCACTGTACGTATGCAATATTGAATTTTAATTGTATGTACTACTCAACAAAAAATAGAGAACATTTTAGAACACGCTCGAAATTGCAATATTCAGAATATCGTAACTCGATGAAAAATTATCGTAGACAAAAAATCAAAAAAGCATTTAAAAACTTGAAATCTCTACTTTCGAAATCGGTAATTGATATTTCAATCTAACTGATTCTTTATGGAGATATATGGATACAAATGAATATCCGTCAAATCTGAAAAATTTCAAACTTTACGAAGATCTATGACGTGAAATAAAATTCACACAAAAATGCGGTTTACGGTAGTCATATGAAAGGTGAATCTTTACCTTCAATTTGCTTTATTGAGTATTGTACGATTTTTTTCACTGAGTTATTGAACGTTAAAGCAAAAATGCTACTTTTATTGCCGATCATTTTCAAATTTCTTGTTATTACAGAAACGACACAGTGCGAAATAAATCGACTTTGTCACGTAATGTTGTGACGCTTTTAATTATTAAATATATTTTATTAAATATATGTTAATAATTATTATTAATTTCTTAAATTATATTTTAATATTTATCAACTGCATAAAAATTTAATTTATTATAAAATGCGTAATTCGTGAGGCTTGTTTAATCGAAATTTGTTATACAGAGCATTCAGCCGTGTGGCTGTATTTTTGGATTGCATTCCGTGAATTTTTACATTCAATTTTAACTCGCGCATTTATTCAATCACCCAAAAATGCGAGTGTTGAAAATGTTGCGTACAAAATGTGATTGACGTATTTCGGTAATTGGTACGCGAGTGACTGAAGTTAATCGTAAATGTCGTTTTGTGTGAGTATTATAAATGAGCAGCAACAAAGGAGGAATCAGAAGTGAAGGAGACATCGTATTAATAAGTTAAATTATTATTAAAATAAAAAAAATTGGATAGTGTGAGATAATTTGCATTTTCTCAATAACATGTATACATATAGTTAACAGATGTTGTAAACACGTCCAAAATACAAAAGGTTTGTTTTTTCTTTTTCCACTAGGCTACACTAGAACTCTCTTTTTTGTTTTCGCCGAATATCAAATATGTATCTATCATTTTTGAAGTGTATAGTTCAGCACAGAAAATAACCTTAATATAAGTATAGTAAGGCTTAAGAAATTGATCACAATCGAATGTGAGAAGAATAATTAACTGTGATTAGTTGTTGTTGGCTTAAGACTTACTACATCTATTATGTTTCGGAACTAAAAATATCTTTTAGACATACGTGTCGAGTTACTTTCTTTTCTTTCTTAAATATTTAAACTAAAAGCTAGATCATAAGCTAGATATTTCGGGTCTGAAGTACGGAATTCACAAATTCACAAATATAATTTAGCAGTGCTTGAAAGCGGCGAAACTATCGATTTTTCTTTTGCATCTATGAGAGGAATCTCTGGTACGCCGACTACGCATAGTTGGCTCGAGTTTGCAGCTCGCTCGTAGTAACTGTAGTTGTTTAAGTGAGCACTATCGTATTTGGGAGCGAAGTATTTGCACGCATAAACAGGTTCCGTCGAATTGCCGAGACGAAATCGTTACTTCGCGATCGGAAGTATCCGGAAGTATCGACGATCTCATCAATTTCCGCCCCAACTTGCACTGCATCGCTCGCGCTCTTCTCCAAATCAATTGAGACGAAACTTTGTACGACCGCGTTCGTCTAATGGAAACCGTAAAAAGAAAACTTCATGAAGAAGAAAAAATCGTGACAGGAACGACGCTTGATCTCTTTTGTCTGGCTTGAATTTAGTTAAATATAATACACGATTATAATAGTTAATTCAACTAGGCAGAAGCTAAATACAGTCTGTTTATTGTAACATAAAGCAGTTACTGTGTAGCTTTAATCGTATTTAAAATGGTTAGATCATTGATAAGCCAAGATTCCGTCAGCATGACAGCTTGACTTGATCTGTTCTTGAAGCAGAAATTATGTAAAAGACATTTTTATTTAGAGACAATTAATTACACAATTTTTATGGACTGTTCATTGATGCGAGTAATTGTTCTGTTTGCGATAAATGATGGAAAAAGTTACGGGTGATTTACGGCTCGATAATTTTCGACGACTAAACTTCAAGCGCTGGTGGCATGACCGCAAAGTTCTGTTATTTATAGGCCAACCTGAGTTCTCTTCTGGGGTGCGTTCACCGCGATCGCAGCCAGATTCCAGCGTTTATTATGTTACGAGACGCGTGGTGCTATGTTGTGTGAAGAAATTCGCGCGACTGAATATGTTCACGCACGTGGGCCGCGTATCGACGCCGAAATTAAATTTTTGGATACCGTTCTGAATGTGATATCCGATATTTCGATTTGAATTTCACCATCAAAATCGCCACCAGAGTTATTTGTAATTTTAACATCGCGTCATACTGTTAGCGTTAGTTTTCACGATTTTAAAAAAATATTTTTCAAACCATGTAAAAATTCATTTCTACATAATATAAGGTGTACTATTATATTTTATATTATATACAATATAAGCTTATATATACAATATAAGCTTTTTATTGACAGTAGCAAAGAATTATACTTACACGGAAAACAGTTTTTGATGAAATATTCAATCCTTTTTAGAAATTTTATCATCGATGTATCACGGTTTATTTAAAAACGCAAATTTTGGCAATGACGTGGAAGATGACGTATCCATGCTTCAGTGAAAAAGTTTTTTCTAGATAGGTGACGATGAGGTGTATAAATATACACTAGTGACGGGATAAATACACAGTAACATTTTTACTTTAACAAGTTTACATTTATACCGATATATGTAGTCTAATTTTCATTCATAGAATATTTGTTTAACAATTACGGATGTTACATTAGAATATGATTAGGATTGAACTTTATATATTAATTCTAAATTTTATGTATTTCTCAAAGTTATAAGTTTTATGTATTATGATAGATTAACTAATCCATAAGATTTCAATAAAATCTACATCTTTGATGAAACCTACACCTTTCTAGAAAGTCTCTGTTTTTTTTATGTCTAATATTCAAAAAGTTATAGTACGTAATTTTTACATAATTAAAAAGATTTATTTTTTGAAAATCTTAATCGTAGATTTTATATATAAATGCATCAAATCTTATTATGTATGTGACTGTTTTATTATGAAATCACAAAATAGATTGCTTTCAAAAACTTTGAAGAAAGCTTGTAATCTATATTTCAATTGTTAAGCTTATAACCTATATTTTGATTTTGAAAATCAGAATAATTAGATTCTTCATGTGTGCTGTATACGCTATGTATCTTTTCTCATATTATTGAAAGAAAAGAAAAAAAAAGTTTTACCTCTCGCGATGTAAAAGAGATTGAAGGAAAAAAAAAATATATATATATGCATCTATTAAAAATGACATCCTGATAAATATTTTAATAACAAAAAAGTTGTACATGCAAAAGTTGTAGAGCTTTTATCATTTTTGTATTTAGTGAGCAAGAAAAATAATTAAGAATTTATTTGGTTCAAATTATCAAAACAAATTTGTTGAGTGTTATTCATATTAATGCAACGATAGTAAATTATGCACATGACGTTAGTGTTACGTGAAACCAGATATAATAAAACAATAGTAGCGTTGAACGACGTCATAAAATGTTATTATGTTCGGCCTGAAGAGATGTTAGGGAGTGTTATAGTCATTTATGACACTCACAGTAGATGCGACATTGAACTTAACTCGTTAATAACTTCCGGTCATGATTGAAACGAAACGCAAGTATATTGTGTTACAAAACAGCTAATGTGTTAATAAAGCTTGTAATTCATTTTTAAAAATTGCAAAATGTATGTATATTATGTGTTATATTGTTTTAAAAATTCAAACTCACAGAAATTCCAAAAATATAGGGACCTTTTAAAAGTAGAAAATTTAAATTTTAAAAACCTTTTATTAAATTTAAATTTCGTTCATTTTTAACGAAATTATATCTGCTTGAATTTTGAAGTTTGTAGCGATACGAATTTTTGATCAGACCCAATATGTTATTGACAATTTAAATTTCTTATTAGAGTACAATAATCAAAATTGTTAATATTAGAAAGATGTTTGATTAAAAAAAATAGAATGTGAAAAATACAATAATATATCTATATAAAATTAATTAGTTTATTTAGTAATATAATAAGAAATTATTATTTTTTTATACGATACACAGTATAATTGTTTTGATACATATATTAATAAAGATTTTTTACTTCGGCTTATACTCGCATAAAAATAATTATTTTTATGTTTCATATAGATTGAAATAACTTTGAAGAGACGAAGGGATTATTTAATAGATTTGCGAGACTGTTTCATGGACTGTTTCTTGTTATAATTCGTAACGCGTTAAATTTTTCTAGATTATTATTACGAAGGGTGGATCTATAATATTAAATGATCTGAAATATTTGTACGAGGTCAAGCGGTCAAGTAATGCTTATTACAAGGTGATCAGTTACAAAATTTTATTCTCTTTGAAAAATTTTATTAACAAAAATGAGCAAAATTATTAAGATATAATTGTGCCAATTTTGAAATATGAAATATGTATTATGCCTCCGTTTTCTTGCGATTTTACACATGTTTGCTTAGCAAATATTTTCGTTGGCGTAGCACTACATATTTTGTCTAAATTAACCTATCAATAACACTTTCAAAAGAAGTTTTAACTTCTAAATTTGTTCAAATATCCCAAAATTGATCAGCAATTTTTTACGATATCGAGTAATAACAATTGAATGTCCAGTAGTATTTAGCTTTGTTTTATTTATTTATTTTTATGTAACAGGTGATTTAAACGTAATTTAGAAAAAAAATTTAATTTAGAAAGAGAAATTAATTAATTAATTTGAATTGTTGATGTAACATTATAAAATCATTAATGGAAACTCACCTAGAACGCAAGACGTAAGAAGAATTCGGAAGACAAACCTCTTCATGGTACGAAAGTCTTCGATAGCGCCAATGCGTAAGTTTTGATTTCAGCAACGCGCTGAATTGAGATAAGAAGAGCAACGCGATTTATGTCAAAAACACGCGTTCTTATCTATATTTAGATCGCACTTCACTAATAGGGCCGGTTATACTGAGAAAGAGCGATACTAGAGAACAGTGAAGACTGTTTGCTGTGGTACTTTTCTGGACTCGTTATCAGCTGTATCGCGATACCATGAAATCGAGGACCAATTTGAGGGTCAAAATCACAGGCAATTCTTAATGCAGCAATTTATTAATTCTCTATTTTTTCACAATATTTATAAATTAAACTGCATTATTAATAATTTCCATCGGTTTATCATTTTTTTTGCGAAATTGGCACAAAAAGAGTTGAGAAGTTACTTCGTGAAATATTTTTGAATGTGAAAGATTTTGATAATAATAAAAAATCAAATTGATACGAAACAATGAATTCAGAAACATTCGCGACTAGACATTATCCATGCCACGATTATCGGTGTAAACGTTGTCGAAGCGATGCGCGACACGAGGGAGACTGATCGCGCACAACTCTAATTTTCTGTCTCTTCCTCCTCCTCATTTCTTCATGCTAGACCGCCTTCTACAGCTGCAGAGATGGTAGTGTCTCCTTGAAAATTCATAGTATTTTTTCGTAGGATTATGACATAAAAATATATTACTGGCAAGAGGATAATAAAATATATCTCTCAGAAATAAAGAGATGAAATAAAAGATTCACAAATTTTATGATTGTTGTAATAATTAATTAAATTCCAATTTTATATTTTTATTTTTTTGTTTACACTATATATAGTTGCTGTCATACATTTATTGAAGAAATAAAAAATTTTATAGATTGCACAGCAATAAAGCAAAATTATTATAATGTGCATTATCAAATAGAGACCTTTAATTTAATAAAGGATATTTAAATTATTAACTAGTATAATTATGATTAATTCATGATTACGAATGTTTTAAATAATTCTTTAAGTACAATTTGAAATTAATCAGAAAGTAAAATTACTCGTAATTTATAGGCGATTTTAGATTTTCTGATTGTGTATATGTGATCATATGCTTAATAAAAACCTGCTTAAAAGATATTATTATAAGAATTCGTTAAATAGCAATAGTAATTTATTTAAGATTGTCAAATCTTGATTTAACATTGCTATAATTATCATAATTACAGTAATAATTTAATTTATTATATTTTATTTTATTATAATATTATGTATTTTATTTCAAAATAAAATTTATGAAATTTTTATATTATGCTTATAAAACTATACATTGAACATATCGATCGCTAATTATTATTCATTCTAAAAATTGGAATAAAATTGGATTCTGAAATTGGAAGAATGGAAATTGACAGTATTATAGGAATATAACGTATTATCAATATTTATTTATTTCACTGATCATGACAAAGTAATAATTACGTAAAGCTGTTAAAAGTAAAACCCCGTTATCACTAGATTGTATATTATATTTACAAGTATAGTTATATCTGACAAAACTTTTTA